CATTTTTCTAGACCCCTGCACGGCAAACTTCGGCGTCACAGACGCAAACTTCAAATAGCTGCTAAAAATAGAGTTTTAGAGATAAAAACAAATTACGAGCACGGCTGTGTAGCGTTTGACCTAGAGAAAAATAGAAAAATAGTTTTGGTGACCTGAGGTCAGAGGTCAGGTCAACGACCCCGAAATGTGGTTTTAGTTTTTCGCAAATAACTTCGACAAAAATGGTCGTAGAGCTACGGCAGTGGTACCATCGCATTCGCCTTGTCAAGCCGCGTCGAATGATATATATTTTGTTCGGAAAAGGTCAAGTTTCATGTTGACCTCATGTGACCTCGAATGACCTCTGGTTGACCTTGACACATGAAAGGTCGTTTATGATGGATTTGTACCCGCTGATCACGAATCTGGCATCTATTTTCCTCTAAGCCTTCATTTAGAGCTTCCGGATGGCAAAATTGTCTTATTTATTATTACTAACTTGAATCAGTGAAATAGCCTCTAGCAGGGATACTCTTCTGTGACCTTGACCTTTGAGCAGCCTTGTATCGTAAGATGAACCACAAATAGGGAACTGATAAGCCTCAAAACATTTCAAAACATCTTGGAAGTTAGCACGCAAGATGTGCGAAAAGGTGCCAAGTTTGAGGTCAATTTTGAGCGTGACCTTGACCTTGACCTTTGATTTGGAGCACATTTTCAAAATCCTCAGATTCTCTTCTTTCGTTTGACACCCAATTTTGCCGGTTTGATGCAGCCTGCCGTCCTCTAGAAGGCTTACTTTGAGATCACTACACATGTCCCGTTTTTGGCCTTTGACCTTGACCTCTGACCTTGAAAATTGACCTGAGGTCAAAAATTTTAGGTGCATTAGAATCGTCTCGTAAGGACCTTTCGTTTGGTATCGCTTTTGTTTCCGTAGCTCCCTTATTTACGGAGTTAGACAGGGGGGGGGGGCGAAAAACGCCCCCCCCCCCGGGCTGCGGTGGTTGGGATTACCCCCCGGGCCCGGCCGGGTTAACCCTCGCATGTGTGCGGCGTTTGCCAGCTTCTAATGTGTAGGGGGGGGGTCGGTTGGACCCCTCCCTTGCCGTTTGGCCCCTGATCGAGCTAGAGCTTTGCGAAAAAAACGAGCGTGCTACCCGTGACGAGAGGAAACCGATGATACCCAATTTTAAAGGTAGTGTGCCAGCTTTCCTGGACCGTATGGAGTTAATGGCCCAGATAAGGAGAACCGGATTTTTAGAACTTATCCATACCTTCAAAACTCATGGAAACGTCTTAAATTCTTCAAATTTTGAGTACCCCAGTGCGAAATTCGCCCCGACGGGTTGTCGGTCGTACCCCAACCACATTTCACACCACTATGAACAATAAATGCACACACTGAAATCGCTATTACCGATATGCTCATCCAATCAAGTTTCGATAAACCCGTTCATCATCATCTCCTGCGGTTTCGAACACGCCTGTTAGGTGGTGCGGTAGACCGCGCCCAAAGCCAGGGCCCCGGTAACGTGAGGTAGCCGAGTCGGGGCAGCGTGCGCTGACCCAAGCCGGGGCCGCGCGTCCTCCCGGTGTCATGTGATAGCCCGGGGCTGCCCGCGGGGATGCGGTAGACCGCGCCCAAAGCTGCGGCCCCGGCTTGGGTCAGCGCACGCTGCCCCGACTCGGCTACCTCACGTTACCGGGGCCCTGGCTTTGGGCGCGGCTTCTGCTCATACTTTGTGGTGCGGTGGTGGTGCGTCGGGCCGCGCGCCCTGACTTCGGCCAAGATAAATGCGTCAGCTGATCATTGTCATTTCTGCCACTTGCGTGTGGTGAAATGGGGTCATAACTTAAGAGACGGCTTTTTCATATCAATTATTTTACATAAAATCATATTTCAAACCATAAATAATGTTTGACAGCCAAATAAAAGATTACAATACCAATACAGGCTTACAGTTTAAGGCTCGACATTGTGTTGTCTACGATTAGACAGCTGATAACTCATTCCCGTACGTCGTAACTCTATAATGACCTTTGCTGTGCGCCCCATTCGCGATTGTTGCCGACGCCTGTTTGCAGGTCAGCCCACTACAGTTGTTATACATATCGAAAAACCGATAAACTTTTAGGCGAAAAAGGCACTATTCCAGGCCCATTTTTGATTTTTTTGCGATATTAGGTAAAAACAGAAGATTCTTATCCTAGGAAAAATAAAATGGGAAATCTTTCAAAGGTGGCACACTACCTTTAAGGTCCACTTTTTGAACCAAACACGTACACATGTGATAAAATGAATGTCACCATCGTGTTCTACGCCAAAAATTACCCATAAAACATGTGTCACAGGCTGCGAATATCAGTTTTGATTTTCGGGGATATGTGCCTACCCGGTTGACCTGACCTTGACCCTGACCTATGCTTGCTTGACCCCTAAATGGAACTGACACTCTTGTAGGCCTTATATGAAAGATTGTGCACCGTTTTGACAGAGTTTATTACGAGAGGCGCCCATTGCGAAGTCCTGAAGTCCATGATGCTACTGAAAGTCCGATTTCAGGTGTTTGACCTGACCTTGACCCGACCTGTGACCTCCAAATTCAACTTAAAAGTACTCATCTGAAGCGTCTCGTCGCGCTCTTTCGTTTGCCGCCTCGTGCGTTCCGCTGCGCCTATTGGTTCTCGAGTTATCGGCTGAGGGCGTTTAACGCCCCCCCCCCCCCCCCAGCAAACGGTGGGTGGCGAAATACCCCAGCAACTGCCGGGTCAATTGCTCTGTTGACGGTTAGTTATTAATAAATTTACTATCAATGATTCAATTTATTAACGGTTTACTCCATTAACGGTTGGTTGACAGTAAAGTGCAACTAGGCGTGGAAGTTAATTGGTCCGCGCTGTGACTGTCCGAGATGAGGGAGGACTGCGCTGACCTCTGTCGCCCACTAAAGCTCAGACAGAAGTGGAACACAGGCAGCGATCATAACTCAGGACTTTTGACCTTGATCTTTACCAGGACCAGCGGATCCGACCCGACGTCGACCCTTCACTGAACGCCCTAAGCGAGTCGACGTGGCAGAATCGAGCACTCTATAAAGTACTGACTAGAGATGTCAATCGGATACCAACTTTTTGGTATACCTACCGATACCAAACCGATACCAACTCGGAATTTGGTATTTCAATCCTAATGTGCTTGGTATTTTGTTGGTATCATGAACCCTCGCTAATGTTTAAGAGGCTAAGAAATCGGTAAAAAGTTGGTATTTTCCTCATGTTCCCAAGTTGGTTTGGTTTCGGTACTTCTTCAAGTTCTTCACGGTTTTGGTTGGTATTTGGTTTGGTATCGGTATTCCGATTTTCCGTAATTGACATCACTAGTATTGACGCGTTTCATTGACATCGTCCAACTAAACACGACTTTAACCCGCGCCCTGCTGGGGGGTGTTTGAACACCCCCCTTGTGGTTTTTCGCGAATATCTAAAAAACGGCGGCGCGGAGCGCCGCCGTTTTTGGTACACCTTATCATACATCAATTCTACACATGTTGTGAAAATTTCAGACCAAGGTCATTCAAGGTCAGGTCACCAGGTCACTTGAAATGACCTCACCTCATAAAAACTTTCAATGTCTGTCATAGCTACACCGAGTGACCGATCGCTTTGAAACTTTCAGCGATTGCTTAGAGCAATAGCATGTACAAAATGTATATCTCAGAAATTTGATATCGATGACCTAAGGTCAGGTCAATTTTGCGACCTCCCCATTATAAGTCAATGGGAGAAAATTGAAATGCGCCTCTTTTGGATGAAAGACATTATACACACTCCCAAACACCGAATTACAAGTGGTTTAGACACACTGAACTTGAAAATGGTGTCCGTGACCCTTGTTTATGCCCTGAGGTCATCTTAGGTCACGAATGGTATCTAACAGTTTTTCGCAAATAACTTTTGATAGAGGCATGCTAGAGCGATGAAAACGCCTTAGATGTGTTCAGCTCGACGATACGGATCGACTGATATGCAACATGACCCTTTCCGGTCAGGTCATGACCTTGACCTGAGGTCAAATTTTCAAGTTGACCTTTCAAGGTCAAGTTATTGTTCATTCGATGCGTCTTGACGAGAGGAACACGATGCCGGTAAAAGTAAGCTCGTACAAGGCTTGGGTCAAAAGTTATTGGAGAAAAACTGTTTTCGAAAATGTCGACTATTTTTGCAGTTTTTGCCCCCTGCAGGCAAAACCGTTGACCTTAGGTCAAATCTGAGAGAATTACTCAGAAAGGGCGTTCATAGGGCTATCGAATGCGCTTTTCCGCGGCGCTGTAGCTCTATTGGTTCCCGAGTTATGCGTTGGCTTCTTGGAAATTTTCGACATTCGACCTGGAAATCGGCGAAATTTTGCCTTCAATGACCTCTGGTGACCTGACCTTTGACCTGACCAAAAAATTGACTGAAGTGATTTCGTCATTATTTTTTACGCTCTTTCGAACGCCGCCTTCCGCGTATCGCTACGTGGCCCAGGAGCCGAGTTACAAGGGGGGGTGTTCAAACACCCCCCCCCCCCCAGCAGGGCGTGGAAATCCAGGACCCCCAGCAGGGCGCGGGTTAACTATGGTCCGGCTGATTCAGACAGAGTCTACATCTCAATATTAATTACATAGGTACCGGAAAATGTAACTGCAAATGCTGCAAAACATGATCGAAATTATGAACTATGAAAACGTACAGAAAAAATGGTGGTTTATTATATACGTAGTACGTAACTTTACTTTAGGTAATAGGTATTCCTTTCCAATGATGAGACCATTTATTCATTGATGCATGAGCATTTATTATCGTAGGCGGTAACATAAGCAACGCTGAACCGTTCCAATAGGCCACCGTGCGTCGGTCACTGGCCGCCAGTATCGCGGCTTCCACAGTGTGTCTGGTGTGCCACCGAATTGAGTGTTTGAGCCGTTCGAATGGCCCACTGTGCGCCGGTCACCGACCGCCAGTATCGCTTCGGCAGAGTGTCTGGTGTACCGGCGTATCGTATGTTTGTGGAGCGGCGGCTCAGTGTTCAACCACAATCGGCATCAGTCGCAGCTGAGAGACCGAGAGAGTGAGAGTCGCGGCTCTCTGTGAGAGGGAGATCGGGTCGGTTTGACCCTGTCCGTGCATTGCAGTGGATTGCAAAGTGGCTCGGTGACTGAGAGTTGTTACGCTAGAGCTGTTGGTCGCTGTGACCGCGCCGTTCGCGATGCTCACGCGTGTGACGGCTGCACTGCTAGTGCTGGCCGCGCTGGTCCCGGCGCTGGCGCAGTACCAGCCGACCTGGGAGTCGCTCGACTCTCGGCCGCTGCCGGAGTGGTACGACGCCGCAAAGGTGGGCATCTTCATCCACTGGGGCGTGTTCTCGGTACCCAGCTTCGGCAGCGAGTGGTTCTGGAAGCACTGGCGCGGCGACCAGACGGACAAGTACGTCCAGTTCATGGAGCAAAACTACCGGCCCGGCTTCACCTACGCCGACTTCGCGCCCGACTTCACGGCCGAGTTCTACGACCCTGCACAGTGGGCTGATCTGTTCCAAAAGTCGGGCGCCAAGTACGTGGTGCTCACCTCCAAACATCACGAGGGTTTCACGCTATGGCCGAGCAAGTACTCGTGGAACTGGAACGCCCTGGACGTCGGCCCGAAGCGGGACCTGCTGGGTGACCTGGCCACTGCCATCCGCAACCGCACGGACCTGCACTTTGGCCTGTACCACTCTCTGTACGAGTGGTTCAACCCGCTCTACCTGAACGACCGAGTCGCCAACCGGAGTGACTTCGTAACGGGTAAGACGATCCCGGAACTTCACGAGCTGGTGGAGACTTACCGCCCTGACGTGATCTGGTCGGACGGTGACTGGGACGACACGCCCGAATACTGGACCTCCAAGGAGTTCCTGGCGTGGCTCTACAACGACTCGCCGGTGCGAGACTCGGTGGTGACCAACGACCGCTGGGGCCAGGGCACCATGTGCCAGCACGGCGGCTTCCTCACCTGCAGCGACCACTACAACCCCGGACACCTGCTCGAGCGCAAATGGGAGAACGCCTTCACGCTGGACCGCGTCTCCTGGGGCTTCCGGCGCGAGATGCGCCTCGAGGACGTGCACCCGATCGAAGAGGTACTCGGCGAGCTGGCCGAGACGGTCAGCTGCGGTGGCAACGTGCTCATCAACGTGGGGCCGACGCGCGACGGCCGCATCGTGCCCGTGTTCGAGGAGCGGCTGACGCAGCTGGGAGAGTGGCTCGGCGTCAACGGCGCCGCCATCTACGGCTCGCGGCCGTGGACGGTACAGAACGACACGCTGCAGGGCGACGTGTGGTACACGCAGCGCGCCGGCGACGTGTACGCCATCGCGCTCTCCTGGCCGGCCGGCGGCCAGCTGACGCTCGGCTCGGCGCCGCAGCAGCTCACCAGCTGCCAGCTGCTCGGCCACGGACCGGTACCCTGTCAGGACGGTGTGGTGGAGTTCCCCGACCTCACCGAGGTCACCGGCCGCTGGGCCTGGGTGGTGCGCTTCTCCGCGCCGCAGAGCGACAACCGGGTCAGCTACGAGGTCCCCGAGAAGGCGGCGGGGAAGGAGAAGGTGGAGACACCGAGCGTGGTCAACCTGTAGTGCCGATTCGGAGCGGCTCGGATGCTGCGCACTCGAGAGTCTGGTGTCAGACACCGGTAGGCCTGGATTTGGGCTGAATTAGCGTCTTTCGGCTCAAGTAATTATATTACCCTTGAATGCAAATTGATATTCCACCTATTGTGATTTGTTATACATATCCTGTGAGTCACGCAGAATAAATACAGAACAACTACACCTTTTTGCGTTGTTCGATGGCCAATCAGCAAAACCTATTCGTCCGATCAGCACATAGGTGGCGCCAGTGAGAGGCATTCCGGCAAAACCTTCAGCATATGGGCAAAACGGAATGCTGATCCCACTCCACAGTTCGTCAGTTGGTATTACCTTCGCTATTCGCCATAACTGATTGAGTTCCGGCAAAACCTTTGACGATTTGGATAAATGCTTCGTCTTTCGTTAATATCCCTTCGTCGTTCACCAAAACATCCCCATGCTAATTTCGGCATTCCTCCAGTGGCGGCGGAAGCAGGGGGGCAAGGGGGGCAGCTGCACCCTAAAGCTATGGAAAGGGGCGCCTCGAAAATCTGTAGAGGAGGCAGGAAGTTGAGAGGTGCGGCAACCATAAAGCTGAGCAGTGCGACACCGCAACTGATAAAGGCACTTGTGACACGAAGAGGGTGGCAATGACGTGGGAAAAGTATATTTTGATATGCTGAAGAGTGGAGGGCATCCTTATCTGAAACAAAGGCAGATGCTGCCGACCCTGTCGAATATAATCTTGCCAGGCGATAAAGGCTAGGAGGGCGCAGCCACTCGAGAAGCGCGCCATGCGGAAGAGGGGCGCCTGCATGCGAAAGGGGGGCGCCTGTGTGTGGGACGAAAAAGAAACATTTATGGAGACGTCTTTGAAGGCGATAGCCTCCGAACGCCAACACGAACATATGAGGGCTTATAGCGTTGCAGGCTCCATGCGACAAAAAGGGGCGCCTGATGGCCGATATGCGAGAGGAAATTAGTTTGTGTAACATTTATCGGGGGCGGTTTGCCGTTTACAACATATGAATGTTAAGGGAGGTCCGAGATTGGGGCCTGTAAAATTGCACTGTCCGTATGGGCGGTTACACCCCTAGTGCTAGGGCGTATTTTGCGGTTTTTTTTACTGGGGAGATGATTATGACCAGGAATAGCACTCTGCAAACTTCTATGGGCGCCTGTATAGGGGCGAAACTGATTTTCCAATGCAGGGACGGCCATCGGCATTGTGGGGCGGCATTCATTCTACTGGGGCGTCTGCCAGTGTTGAAGGGCGGTATTCATTTCAATGGGGCGCCCGTTGGTGTTGATGGGCGACATGTATCACCTGGGGCGCCTAACGGAGATTGGGGCGGCTTAGTGAATGACATTGAGCCAGGATGTCCGTTCCGAAGGGCTGACGTGATACTGATGACACCACTGAATGCAATAGTGCAGTGCAGCCCAGGCGGCATGCTGCTTACCGGCCTGCAATTCTCTGTCACCGAGTTAGTGTTATGGATTCGGCGCCTTATTCACTAGTCCACACGAAGATATTGGAACCGTGGAACTCTTTTCGATATGCCTTATTCGGAGAATCTTATGATATGGTGATGAGGTTGTTTCTAAACGAACATTATGAGGGTTACATTTACGCTATGGAATGTAGGTACCTAACTATTTCTCGTTACATAAAAACTGTAATTCTGAACGTGTTAACAACAGGTACAACACATTGTCAAACGTCTCTTCACTGTTTGTGTTAATACAACCGTGTATATTGTAAGGGGCGCCCAGCGGGAAGGGGCGCTTCAATATCGTTTGCACCCCTATCCTAGAATACCTTCCGCCGCCACTGCATTCCTCATAACATTTCGTCAAAACTAAAAACAGATCGCCCCTTTACAGAGAAGTATTAATATGACCGGGTTTATACAGTGCAGTGCGAGGCATAGGTGGCGAAACTCGTAGACCATTGATCTACATAAAAATCGGTAGCGTTCATGAGCGCCATAGGTACAATGTAGATGGACGTAGCTGACATGTTATCGGCTCTTTGAAAAATGGACAGGCAACAGAGCAACAGGCTGGATAAGTTAACCCCGCCTCAAACACCAAGGAACAGGCAACAGGCTGGATAAGTCAGCCCCGCCCCAAAAACCAAGGTGTCCGGCCGGCAGGGCCCGGCTTGCCATCTGTCTGCCATGCCCTCGCGAGTCCGACCGGCGCGGCCGCCCGAGGCGTTGTCCCATGACATCGCACGGGCAGTGACGCGATAATGACGGCCGACTTCGTGGTTTGTATCGAAGCGTTTAGGAGTCCGACGCTCAAGAATCTACATGCCTACTCGGTATGGCGCCGGCAGTCTCCTCGTAGCTATGGTATAACTGCCTTTTTCGGAATTCAATGGTTAATTGGTTGCAAATTGCGCTGGAACTGTCATAAGCCTCATCCCTGAATGCGTGATTAACGTTAAACATTGAATATGGCTAGATAAGCACTACATCATTGACATTTTGATCATTGACGAAAGTTTTAAATAAACAGTCATTGTTTACGCACAGTACCGATGAATTTTGCACATCGACTAACCATTTTGTGAAATGTCGAAGCATTATGACAATCTGACAAAGTGTTTTGCCTATGACGAACATTGTGCTCAATGACAAAGAGTTATGCAAAATGGTTAAATGGAGTCCAGCCTGTTTTGCCGACCGTCTAACAGTGATGCACATCGCCGATGGGTTATTCTGAATGACGCTTGTCCAAACTGATGCCGAAATGGTTATGACGATTGGCCACCGAACAACGCAAAAAGGTGTAGTAGAGAACAGACGTCAGACGTGCTCGTGTACTTCTCGCCCATACTTGGACGATAGGAAGGCATTCAAGTGACACACCAAAAAGGTCGAGGACCTTTTAAGGTCACCAAGATAGCTAACACAGCTCGTACTGAGATAGCCGTATCACTGCTGTTTGTATTCACCCGACCTAAGTAGGACCTTCCTTGGCAGGCGTTTTATCGGGAAATACGCAGTCAATAGTCGGGCCGGCCGAGCCGAGTTCGTTTACGCATCGGTCACCTACATTCAGCTCCGATCAGTTCGATTGGTGATCCAGTTGAGGCCGGGGAACAATCGTTAAGCATAAAAGAACACTGGCTGTTTCATAATCCACGTTTGTCGTTTACACACGGATAACGTTTGCCGGGGCCGTAATGTGTCATGTACGCATAAAAACATAAAAAGCACAGAGCGTATGATATCGCATTTTATCACATGCACTCTGCGGCGTGTAGTAAGTGTACACTGTACGCCCACGGTAGAGATGCATTACACTGCACCCGGAATCACTTACCGGTAGTAATCTGAAGAATAAATATCTCTGGAGAGACCGAAGTCTGATATTTTGACGGTCAAATTATCGCCCACCAGGCAGTTGCGTGCGGCCAGGTCCCGGTGCACATAATGGTGAGTGCCCAGGTAGGCCATTCCTGCCGGTGATACATATACATATTAACGTGTTGCAACACTAGGGCTATCTAATAACACGATCACTTCTTTTATAGAATTTACAACGTCACCTGTCTTGTCAACTCTGGTCAGTGTCCGACTAGCCCGAAGCAGACTCAGTCAGAGTAGCATTGTGCCACCCACCAGCCGCCGTGCGCCATGACCCGACCCGAGTGTCCCGCCAGTCGCCACCCATCACCATATTGTCCCATCTCTCACCGTCAGCCACCTGAGTGGCGATGTGCAGCAGGTGTTGCTCGGTCAGCGGCGGTCCGGCGGCGCCGTCCCCGCGCGGGGACCGGGCCACCAGCAGCGCGTGCAGGTCGCCGCCGCTCATCCGCTCGAAGACCAGACAGCGCGGAGTGGCGCGCTGCACCACCCCCAGCAGGCGGACGATGTTCGGGTGACACAGCTCGGCCAGGAGGCGGCCCTCGCGCTCAAAGTCGCGCTCGGTGCGCGCAGAGACGTCCTCTTTGAGCGTTTTGACGGCCACCGGCAGCGGCGCGCCGTCCGTGCCGTAGTCGGAGAGCTCGCCGCGGAACACCTTGCCTGCCGGATCACGGGAGGTCAGGAGAAGGGAGACGGGTTAGCTACCCACTGCTTAAGAACGGCCATCCATCAGTATCATGGACTGCGGTTACGGGCTTTTATATTACATACGTGACTTAATGAAGACAGTTCCAGCTTATAAGAAAAGTGACGAGCACGGAGCTACTATACTTACCAAACTGTCCCTCTCCGAGCTCCTCCTTGAAGGAGATGCTCTTCAGTTCCAGCTCGATGGCCTGTGGTTTGGGCGGTGGGTCAGCGGCCAGCTCCGGGTCCGTCCTCGGCTTCTCCGCCACCACTGTCAGCTTGGTGTCCGCACTGCTCTTGGTCGCCGGTCCTCGCCGAGCGCAGCGGCAGAGACAGCCCAGCGCCACGGACAGCAGCGCCAGGACGGCCAGGGAGCCGCTGACGTCACAGGCGGGACTCGACGTCAGTTAGGAGCCAGCAGAGAACAAACTCACATCTCAGAATCAATAGCTTTGTTGGCGACGCCAACAAGCACTACTAAAAATAAATGCAAGCATTAAGACCCTATAAAGACGTGCACAATTGGACGAACGAGACCATGCACTGCTGATGGGGAGCCAACCCACACTAGGGCGCCCTGAGAGGCAGTGCTCTACCACTAACCATGGCAGGACGATGTACCAGATGTACCAGAGCAGTGGCCGGTGGCAGCGCGGCACGGCGCACAGCTCGGCCTGCACGCCGCCGCCCTCGGAAGCCGTGTAACACCAGGGCTGTGGCCGTCCCTCGCCCGGCCAGTTGCGGCAGAAGGCGTGGCCGCCGAGCACGGCCGGCTGGCGGCGCGCCAGGCGGGCGTACTGGCCGTGCCGGCTCCAGGCGCGGCAGCGGCGGCCGGAGGCGGCGCGCGCCTCCACGCCCCGGTACCCGGCGCCGTCCCCGTGGAAGCAGGCGTCCTCGGGCCGCGGCGGCGCCACGTCCGGCACACCGAGCCGCAGACAGCCGGCCGCCTCCGGACTGCCCACCGGCGGCAGTCGCTCGCACACGGGCAGCTCCACCTGCGAGAGGATGGGGTGCGCCAGCGCGATGGCGTGCTCGCGCTTACAGCGGGCGTCCCGCAGCAGCTCACACTCGTCCCGGCAGATGCGGCGCGGCTCTCCTCCGGCACCGCACGGCGGGAACGCCGACAGGCAGATCCCCGGAGCGGCGAACTCGCTGCACTCCTGCCGCCCGCGGAACGAACAGTCAGCGGACAGACCACTCGGGCCGGCTGAGAGGCCATCAAAACACGGTTAACACTCGCCGAATGGTAGGCTGTGATAACATCGTAGGTTGTATAAACAAACTATTCTGTCATAATTTTTATCAAAGCTGTTGCGTTAATATGCTTGAAAACAAACAGACAGGAAGCCGTAACTGCAGAGGATATATCCTCTGATGAGAGGTGCCGCTGTTTACTCGAATCGTTGATATGGCATCGATAAGGCATCTGTTACCGCCTATTTTGAGCACTCGGCGGCGCACTCACGTTTCTTTATAGGGGCTCGCGAGATAATTTGCTTCTTTTAATCAATTTAACGCGAATTTAGAGCATCATCCTCCCATGTGTTCCCTACCTGAGAGAGGTCGGGTGAGTCCTGCACCACGGAAAGGGCGTCTCGCACGCGCTCCTCCACGATGGCCAGCGTGTCGGGCGGCCGAACCAGCACCGTCTGGTTGAGTAGCAGGAAGGCGCACACCTGACCGCGGTAGGGCGCGCACGCCGTCCGTCCCTCGGGTGGGGACGTGGATGGCGAGCCCCGCGGCCACAGGCGCGCCGCCCGGCCCACCGAGCGGCCGTCGGATGACCTGTCCGAATGGGTACTTCTTTAACCTTCCAGGCGGTGGGGGGGGGCATTTTTTTGCCCCCTCTTTAGTTTTTTCAATATATCTCGAGAACCGCTGCGCCGATCGTCACCAAACTTTCAGTACCCTCCCGGGAGCAGCTAGCGCACATGGTGACCAAAAATTTTCCAAAGGCTATGATAGGTTGGCCGCTAATGACGTCAGAGTGACGTCATTTTTGCCATTTTCGACCCCAAAAAAGGTTTCGCGGGCAGAGCTGTCAGGCCTACAGCTTTAGAGATACAGAAAAATGTTTCAGACATAAAAGGTGTGAAATCAAAAGGGCTACAAAACTGCAATTTCGGTGTTTCGAATTTTTTGGATTTTGACCACCAAAAATAAAAAAAATATATTTTTTGAATATAATAGCCAAAAAATCTTTTTTTTCATTTCAAAAAAAACGGAAAATATGTGATAGTCCCTACCGCCTTCTATCTACATACCAAATTTAAGATCGATACCTCTTTTTTGGCCAAGTTATAGCGAAAAAACTGTTCAAAATTGTTGACGTCAAATTTTCAAACTCAATTTTTAGCAATTCTAGACATCGTACCGCAAAACAAAGACCACCATTAGACTCCCCGTGACGAGCTGCATCGAATCGATACCCATTTTATTCAAAAATATCAACTTTGAAATTTGACCTTTTTTGACCTGACCTTGACCTGACCTCCACCAGAAAGTGACCTAAACCGTATCTGATGGTCTTATAACCAACACCATTGAGTTGGAAATGAAAAACTGGCCATAAAACATGCATCGCATAACCTTAGTAAAGTTGGGCTCATGTGGTGACCCTTGGTGACCTTTGGTGACCTGACCTGTGACCTGACCTGGTATGACCAGTGACCTCTAATAGCAACATATGTACTGGACAACTGACGCCTAATCGCTGATTTTCGACAAAATGCGTTTTACTCGGTGTTATAGCGCTTTCCCTATAGAAGCCCCGTGAACGGTGAAACATTTTATCTTTGACCTGACCTGTGACGTCATCGGTGACCCCGAGGTCAATGAAATTTGGTTTCCTTCAACAAATTTGACAGGGCTATCGAACGCCCTTTGAATTTTCCGGATCCGTCCAGTAGTTTCGGAGATACGGGGGGGGGGGCAAAAAATGCCCCCCCCCCCCACCGCACGGAAGGTGGCTGGTAGGCCCACCGCCTGCCGGGTTAACCCTATTAGTGGCAGGGGGTTGTTTTTATCCACCCCTCAGGTTTTTCGGGAATATCTCCGAAACCGCTGAAGCTACGATGCTGAAATTTTCTGACTTTTCCTAAAACTAAATTGGGCACATTCCCTGAAAATTTCAAGTTCATAACTTTACCAGGGGCGGCTCCAGAGCACTGGGAATTGGGGGGTCCTATTCGTGAAGCGAGTCATTTGGGCGAAGATCACGTCGATACTGCACCAGTTTTACGAACAGTGAATGAAAGGTATCATGCGATAACATATACAGTTATTGTGCATCCTCTTTTGACACGTTTTTGCTATAATAGGCGGATCCAGGCGTCCAAAAAGGGGGGTTATGTTTTACCTCCCAACATAGGTGCCCTGACACCGCCTATGCATGACCAATACAATTGTAGTCGTTCTCTCATAAGAAAATTGTAACATAACAAGACCATTACCACCCTTTTTAGAAACAGTACCAACAAAAACCTTATTTACTATACTTTTTGTGTACCCCCAATCTCAATGATCTGTATCCGCCTATGATTTTTGAAAATGCATATTTTTAGGATCGAACTATAAATATACTATACATATACTTTAAATATAAATATACTATATATATACTACACGTATAAATATACTATATTCTAACTATAGCTATCGAACAGGTGCATTAAAGAACATTGAAATTTGCTCATGACCTTGTACCGGTTTTCTGACCTGGTGACCTGACCCAAGGTCATCCGGACCTGAAATTGTCAGGTCATATGTAAAAAGGTTGCCCCATAAGCTGTGCAAAAGTTGGCGGCGCTGCACGCTGCCGTTTTTCGGCTATCTTGGAAAAACCTTAGGGGGGGGGGGGGTGCTCGCATCGACCCACCCCTCTGCCAGGGCGAGGGTTAGGTAATGGCTTTTCCGCGTCATTTATCTTTTTTAAGTTTCTTAGATAAGCGGACGTAGCAACAGATGCTCCTCCCTACTTGATGCATGATGAGATAGGTATGACGAGTTTCATGGCGCTTTGTGCCCCGGTTTTCTGCTGGGGAGTGTGACCGAAAACGTCACTGTTCTGGTTCCGTATAAATTTGTCAAGAATTTTCCGCTGGTAATCAAAATGTCGGCTGTGCCTTTTGATCTGATTTGTCTCCCAATTGGCTGTCCGACTGAGTTCAGACGCGTGCTTCGTTTGCCTATCGTTCTTCCCGTCCCTTCCGTCCAGCCGGCGCTCAGCGGCCCGATCCATGTGGGACCATGTGTGGGCTACAATCCATCTATTAAATCCCTATTAACATTTTTTAATTTTTATTATTTAGAAATGTAGATCACGTTGAGCGAAATCGAATGCCGTTTGAATTTTGAAAATCGGCCCGTTAGATCTCGAGATATCAAGGGGGTCGTAAACAGCCCCCCCTGCCACTAATAGGGGTAGCCAGGAGCCTGCCACTAATAGGGTTAAAAAGAGTCAATGCCGCAAGTATTTTTAGAACAATGAAAACTCATACCGGCATGCAATGGGCAGGGTGCAACAGATGGCAAACCTTCAGTAACTGTCAAGTTCTGGTCAACCACAGGCTAAATTTCTAAGTGACCTTTAAAGGTCAACTTTTAGTTCATTTCAAGCGTCTTTCCGAGAGGAACCTGATGGCGGTAAAAACAAATGTCATGCATTGTTATGTAGAAACATTGCCTCTGCATGTGTCTAATTTGGCAGTTTTCGTCCTCCGCGAGTCGAACCGTTGCCCTGCGGTCAATCTGAGGTCAAGACTGCACTCTGCAAAAGTTATTTGAAAGAGCTATCGAACTATAAATATACTATACATATACTTTAAATATAAATATACTATATATATACTACACGTATAAATATACTATATTCTAACTATAGCTATCGAACAGGTGCATTAAAGAACATTGAAATTTGCTCATGACCTTGTACCGGTTTTCTGACCTGGTGACCTGACCCAAGGTCATCCGGACCTGAAATTGTCAGGTCATATGTAAAAAGGTTGCCCCATAAGCTGTGCAAAAGTTGGCGGCGCTGCACGCTGCCGTTTTTCGGCTATCTTGGAAAAACCTTAGGGGGGGGGGGTGCTCGCATCGACCCACCCCTCTGCCAGGGCGAGGGTTAGGTAATGGCTTTTCCGCGTCATTTATCTTTTTTAAGTTTCTTAGATAAGCGGACGTAGCAACAGATGCTCCTCCCTACTTGATGCATGATGAGATAGGTATGACGAGTTTCATGGCGCTTTGTGCCCCGGTTTTCTGCTGGGGAGTGTGACCGAAAACGTCACTGTTCTGGTTCCGTATAAATTTGTCAAGAATTTTCCGCTGGTAATCAAAATGTCGGCTGTGCCTTTTGATCTGATTTGTCTCCCAATTGGCTGTCCGACTGAGTTCAGACGCGTGCTTCGTTTGCCTATCGTTCTTCCCGTCCCTTCCGTCCAGCCGGCGCTCAGCGGCCCGATCCATGTGGGACCATGTGTGGGCTACAATCCATCTATTAAATCCCTATTAACATTTTTTAATTTTTATTTTTTAGAAATGTAGATCACGTTGAGCGAAATCGAATGCCGTTTGAATTTTGAAAATCGGCCCGTTAGATCTCGAGATATCAAGGGGGGTCGTAAACAGCCCCCCCCTGCCACTAATAGGGGTAGCCAGGAGCCTGCCACTAATAGGGTTAAAAAGAGTCAATGCCGCAAGTATTTTTAGAACAATGAAAACTCATACCGGCATGCAATGGGCAGGGTGCAACAGATGGCAAACCTTCAGTAACTGTCAACTTCTGGTCAACCACAGGCTAAATTTCTAAGTGACCTTTAAAGGTCAACTTTTAGTTCATTTCAAGCGTCTTTCCGAGAGGAACCTGATGGCGGTAAAAACAAATGTCATGCATTGTTATGTAGAAACATTGCCTCTGCATGTGTCTAATTTGGCAGTTTTCGTCCTCCGCGAGTCGAACCGTTGCCCTGCGGTCAATCTGAGGTCAAGACTGCACTCTGCAAAAGTTATTTGAAAGAGCTATCGAACTATAAATATACTATACATATACTTTAAATATAAATATACTATATATATACTACACGTATAAATATACTATATTCTAACTATAGCTATCGAACAGGTGCATTAAAGAACATTGAAATTTGCTCATGACCTTGTACCGGTTTTCTGACCTGGTGACCTGACCCAAGGTCATCCGGACCTGAAATTGTCAGGTCATATGTAAAAAGGTTGCCCCATAAGCTGTGCAAAAGTTGGCGGCGCTGCACGCTGCCGTTTTTCGGCTATCTTGGAAAAACCTTAGGGGGGGGGGGTGCTCGCATCGACCCACCCCTCTGCCAGGGCGAGGGTTAGGTAATGGCTTTTCCGCGTCATTTATCTTTTTTAAGTTTCTTAGATAAGCGGACGTAGCAACAGATGCTCCTCCCTACTTGATGCATGATGAGATAGGTATGACGAGTTTCATGGCGCTTTGTGCCCCGGTTTTCTGCTGGGGAGTGTGACCGAAAACGTCACTGTTCTGGTTCCGTATAAATTTGTCAAGAATTTTCCGCTGGTAATCAAAATGTCGGCTGTGCCTTTTGATCTGATTTGTCTCCCAATTGGCTGTCCGACTGAGTTCAGACGCGTGCTTCGTTTGCCTATCGTTCTTCCCGTCCCTTCCGTCCAGCCGGCGCTCAGCGGCCCGATCCATGTGGGACCATGTGTGGGCTACAATCCATCTATTAAATCCCTATTAACATTTTTTAATTTTTATTTTTAGAAATGTAGATCACGTTGAGCGA